TATAACATTATGTATTTTATATACTGTACTTGAAATTTTCTGTGTTTCGAGTTTTTTGGGGTGGTTTTTTATTTAATAAATACCAACCCGTTCCAAATCGCCCTAACCCAAACAAACTAAAATACGGGTACTCATAGATCCCCATTATGTGTGCAGCCATCAGGAAAAAACTCTGAAAGAAACATAAAATTAAAAAAACTTGGAGAGGAGCCAAGAAGGCGTTTGTTCAGAGGGACGAAGTCTCATAATATTAGTACTGGAATGACATCGAACGACCTGTACCGTCAGGAGCGGGTGTCCAGTGGGAGGGGGGAGGAGAATCGCATTTCACCACTCGACGTAGAGTGATGATGTAAATATGCAGAAAGTGCGCCGCATAGCATTGCAGATGACATTCAAACTAATGGCTCGTCTACCTGCGCGCCGAGAGTGTAAAATAGCCCACAGGTACACGACGTCGTCCACTCCTATCAAAGCTCCGGGACGTCAAGAGGGCGGGAAAACCCAGAAAAAACATGACGAACTGTCATACATTTGTTCGCTATGTCAACCATCCGAATACAGTGTCCAAATCCCGCTCCATCTCACCTCACCAGCGCCCAAGACAGTAAATTAGTTTCATAGCAACTGCTGGCGTGAGGAGGTAGACCTTTACACTGCGCATAATTAGTTCCCTTGGCCTATGTTTTTCTATAAAAACCCTATTAAAAAACTACCGTGAATCGCATTTGAGGGGAAATCCAAATGAAGAGTTATTTGCAAGCAGTCAAGACTGTTTTCTCCTGGACAATTTGGGATGAACTTAAACATTATTTTTTCTTAAAAGCGGTCTGATTTTCATCCTTTTCCCTTTCCTTTCAGCCATGAAGGGAATGTCGTCTCAAACAAACTAGCTCTCAAATAAGTTCACAGTCGATGACTGTGTAGTTCCTTTCCTGTTTCCTATCTCGTTTGTTTGTGAGAGATGAAAGCAGGGGGGGGAGAGGGGAGACCAACAGACAGAGAGTGAGACAGACCGATAGATAGATAGACACACAGTGAGAGAGAGAAAGAGAGAGAGTGAGAGAGACAGAGAAAGAAAAGAAAGAGAAAGAAAGTTCAGGCAAAAAAACCCAGAAGGTGACAGGCCCATTACAAAGAGGACAGGAGGGGCGCAAGGAAGATACTAACCTGACACGGTAGACGGAATACTGCCTAAACCCATACACCCACTAGAGTCATAACATTTATTGCACATACGAAAATTAACTTTACTGTCGGCTTAGGGGTTCTCGCCCACGGCGAGCCAACGTCAGACTTAAAAACCACGTTTCAACTTGATGGTCAAGCACATAGAGATGGGAATACGGACAGAAGGGACAGTGGCAGCAAACGCACTGTTACAATAATACATTAAAGTTTGATTGGTTTATCAGAAAGAGCAATCTATCAGCTGCTGTATGATTTGTACTACCATTTCGATGAAAAAAAGAACGGGAAAATATCCACGATTTCACTGTGTTGTGAACTTTTCAGAAGAGATGACGTGGGATAATTAGAGGCCACAAATGCGATGTAAATTATTTCTACTGAGTGGAAACTGTTTTCTTTCTGTGCGCGCGCCCGTGTGTGTGTGTGTGTGTGTGTGTGTGTGTGTGTGTATGTGTGTGTGTGTGTGTGTGTGTGTGTGTGTGTGTGTGTGTGTGTGTGGGCGGGTGGGTGTGTGTGCGCGCGCGCGCGCGAGAGCGTGTAAAAAAAGGGGGGAGGAGTCGTTTTGTTGTTCTGTCTTTGTTCTTTTATTCCAAGTTTTTTTGACCCCCTTCGGGGGCCGCCTCTCCCCTTCTATCCCACGGTTTTTTAAAATGTATTTATTTTCTTTCATTTCTTTTCAGTAAATCCCAAAACTACTTTACTAAATGCAGACGCATCTCGCTGAATTTATTTCTTTATGCAATCACAGATTAATCATGATGGTAGCGGTATCAGTCCCAACAAGCAGGTGCTTGAACGGCGCCACTGGCACTTATTTACTCCCCCTGTTGTTTCTTTGTATCTGTCTAAAAGACCATTATTGTGTCGGTGTGCTTCTCTTTACTCAAACAAATAAACAAACAAACAAAACAATCCCTGCAAAGCTATGGCACCATCTGACCTTTCCCTTACACTACGGCCAGGACACAGTACGCCGGACTTGCGCCGGACGAGGGAAGACCCTCCAGTCGCACACATAACTGAGCTGGCGCGGGACAGACAGACAAAGCCAGGAATGCGAGTTGTCGTTACTGCCTTGCGGGGGCGCTGGCCTCGGGCCCACTGCGACGAACCGGCCGACAGCAGGGGCAGGGATTGGTCAAGGGGAGGCAAGTACAAGTCCAACTGCGTGACACAGTTTAACGCTTGATTAGTTCCCATTGTTCTTCGGATCTCTTTGAGTGCCGCCGGCCGATCGGGCCAAAGCATTGACTGGCGTCTACTGAAATCCCTGCCCCGCTTGTCCTCGGCTAGAAAGGCCTGATTGAGTGCTGGTGTAAGGACATGATAGCAATAGCTGGCACATTCCTTCGGGGATCAACAGCAACGGCCGGCGAGACGCTCCACAAATCGCAGGTGTCTTACCCCCTATGCTATAATTAATTCCGATCGTGTGAAATTGCCGAGATAGGGAGGAACATTCCTCCCTTTAGCCGAGATTACATGGATAGATTATTGAGAAGAAATGAGAAGGACAAAAATCGGGAGGAGTAAGTTAGTTTGAATTTTCAATTTCGGGTCGCTATAAAATGTACATGCCAGGGGAAGAATAAATGTACCCAAGATACCTTACAAGTTTTAGGGGCCCTATAAAATTAGAACAATAAAAAACAATTAGATAATAAATAACTATTTGGTTTGTTTTTTTAAATCCACAGGCCTACTATTCAGATGAGTCATATCACTCACTCATATTGAAAAATTTAAGCCACACCCCTGATTTTCTGGTAGGAAAGATCTACACCTAGCCCTCTCGGACAAGGGCGAAAAATCTCGGAGGTCCCGTGTGTAAGTTGCGAACGTTAAAGATCCCTTGTTGGTCTTTAATCAATAATAGTAGGCTTCGGCCATCACCCTGGCAAAATTCAAAATTTCCTATCAACTGAAAAATGTTTCATCCCGCGCTCATATACATGTATGACCTTATGCAGTTGCGAGCGCCGTAAAACACTTACCAAAACCCCCAAAAAGACAAAAAGAAAAAAAAAATCATTGACTCAATCATCGAGCCCACTATTCGATACAGCTGACTTTTTAAGTTTAAAGGAGTTAAGAAGGTCCATAAGACGTGCTCGGGGATAAAATATTGAATAGGAGAGGGAGAGGAAGAGGAAGCTGGGAGAGAGGGAGAGAGAGAGAGAGAGAGAGAGAGAGAGAGAGAGAGAGAGAGAGAGAGAGAGAGAGAGAGAGAGAGAGAGAGAGAGAGAGAGAGATTGACTAGAAATTAACAGTTGGGTAAAGAGAAAATTCGTGTCTCTTTTGTCTATCTATATCAAGTTGTTTGGTTTTTTTCATCCCTTTAATCAAGACGTGAGAAGGTGCTCGAGATTCCAAAAGAAAGATGAGCAACTTTTTTCAATAGGGAGATGCTCCATAAAAATGGTTTACTTCAGTACAATGGAAAAAAGAGAAAACTGATGTAGTCGTTCTGTTTCAGTTGCATCTACTGAAAACAACGGAATTTCGCAGGGTTTTTTCCCCCTTTTTTGGGTTTACATGCAATATATATCTGCTCAACATCCAACTAATTACTGTATAAGGTATCACTAAAGTCTGGGATCATGCAGTCTGGTAGTTAATCATCAGCTCTTTGGGGGTTTTTTTTCCATTCCTTTCAAGTTCGAAAGGAGAAAGTTCACAAACAAACTTCCAGCTACGTACACCATAATATCCATACAAATCTCTTCTATTCAAGTGCAAAATCACATCCACAAATACACACACACACGCATATACACAGACACACAAACGAACACACACAAAACATTCGTTGTACATGTAGTGCCATGAGCTAATTCAAACAATTAAAAAAACAATTAAATGATTGTATTCACTTAAGACTACAACATGGTCTTATACCTAGCTGTACGACCAAGTATAAGCTACATAATGTAAAGTCTATGATCATCAGACAAGTTGTAAACTTAAGTGAAAAAAGCAATTTAAATCATTTCAAAATGGTAGGATGCAGAAAGACAAAAAGAAATGACAAGAATGTAATATACTGAAAATATTTTACTAAAAGTTTTTCAGCTGTACAGAAGCAGGACAGGACACTGTGTGAAATGATAATTACAAAAGATAAGAAAAGGAAAAAACCACAAAAAGTAGAAAGGTGAAAAGAGGACCTGCAGAGCAGCTTTACGAATAGACAGTCAGGTCAGAGTTACCAAAGATGGTCAGTATGGAAAAAGCAAAGGACAGTAAAGCAAAGCAGACATCAAAAGACAGCAATAAGCACAAGACGTTGGGGACAAGCTTTCTACACTCTTCAAAGAGAGCAATAAAAAAAGACACAACCAATTAAAGAAGCAGACATAAGAAGGCAGTCCAAAAGAGAAGAAGATAAGACAGCTACATAAAAAAAGACATTAAAGAACAGAAACAAGAAAGAGTTAACAAACAATCTGTAAAACATAGAGTCTAGTAACAAACAAAAATCACAACGAATGACATTATAGTAGTTTAGTAACAAAACAGTAACAATACTTACACCATGACCAGGACTGGTCAAAGTGATGCAATCCACCTCAGTTCAAGACGTTATCCGACTTCAATTTCTGAACAATAATCCAATAACTGTTCTCTCACATAAATCCACAAACTTGGGCTTGAATAGCAAGAGCCTGCCTGCTAATCCAGTCTCTCTTTGAAAGATGCAGCTTGAAATTGCAGGGTCAAAATATACTATCCTTAAAAAGCTGTCTTGTCAAAGATTCAGTTGCTCATCTGAAAAGAAAAAAGAAAACCGTTAAGGACTCTTTGTTTTAAGCATAAATTAATCTCAGTCTGATATTTTTTTGCAGCATACATGTCATGCATGCTACAGCTGATAAAATAAATGAATTTAGCTGTTAGCTCAGTATCTCATAAAGCAACAAAATTAAATTTCTCAATTCTGTTTGAAACGGAAGGCACAAAGCTCATTGGTGAGTAAGCCTACCCACTTTAGGTTTCAGAAAATTCAGAGTAATGAGACCTTTGTTTTACACCTCAAAATACATAGTTGCTCTAGCCCCTTATTGAGAGCTGCAAAGGTCTCTATGTTGTTTATAGGCTATATATGTCAATGGATAAATAGATGAACAACATTGACCCTATGGGTGTATGGTCCTTTATTACCAGGACTTTAAAAAAACAAAACATATAACTTCCAAACAATAAAACAAGGAATCATTAAAATTCATGACATTATGCGCAGTGCTTGATCAGCAAATCTGGCGATGACAAAACCCTATTTTAGATGTATAGCACAAACTGTATTAGTAGGCTATGTCTGAAAATAAATAAAGTATGCATGAACCAAACAAAAGCAACTCTTGGCATATAAATAAGAATGATTGGAGGCTCTTGAAAGAAATGAAAATTGGATGCATAACTTGACTTCTGATAGGAAAAAAAGTTCTTACTGATTATGACACAGGTACCTTTTAATTAATTTTTCTTACTTTTTATTATAGAAATTGTACTAATCATATATATATAAGAAAGATTAGAAGGGCACATTCAAGTTTCAAGGGAAATCATGAGCATATTATATAAAGGAAACCAAAGATTGCTTCTTGAGACTGAAGCACATTTCCTTAGTTTTTTTAAGAACAAGCAAAAGTTGTAACATAAAGCTATAGCTATAATAGCATGTAGTCCTTTTTTTAGAGAAGAAAACTAAAGACAGGAAAATTGATCAGTATGCAAGATGACGTCACCAGAAGGCCGGCCTACGTGAGGAAACGCAGCTTTATCACTAGTGTTCAAATCCAGATAAGTTCTGAAGCTTCCCAACTAAAAATAAAAAATAATCAGCTGACAGACCACAAAAGATTGTCTCAAGCTAAGGAGAAGAGACACTTTATTCATTACCTTATTGTTCCAGCTGATAGAGAAAACTATGTCCCATTTTTTTCAAGGGTGTAAACTTGACTCCTGTCACATACACAATCTATAAAATGTCACCTCTGGAACCTGGTCCAGGCATGACTAATATGTATTCTACAGTAGTCATACAAGGTATTGTTGGATAAAAAATCATTTCCAAGTCCAAGAAAATGAACCTGCATAATAATATTACAAGTGGGCAGAAAAACAAACTCTGGTTCAATTTTATCACATTGAAAAAAATAAAGATAAAGATTCGAAGCTGTTTTATTCTTTTTATGTAAAACTTTACAGGTTAATTGATGGCAATAAGTTTCCATTTTATGTTCTTTTACAAGACAAGACAAAACATTGGAGGGGGGGGGGCAATCAAATATTTCAGCCACGACTTTGCATCAAGCTCAATTCTTGCACTATTGCGGCAATTAAAGCAGTTGTGTTTGTATTCAAGATATAAGATCTACATCATGTAGAAGTGTCTGTTTTGAAGAAGCAAATCAGCAAAAAAAATAATGTTTACTTAAAAACACCTTTACCTATTCAAAGTTTATAGATCTAGAATCTAGAAGTTTTTAAAAGTGTTTAAAAAGTGATTTAGAATCTATATTTATATTTTAAATAGGCTACATATTTTGGCTAATTATTAGGCTATGGTCAAGCTTGTTATTATAAAAATAATATACGTCGAAGATGGTGTGTTTCAATATGGGTAAAAGTAGGCCTACTAGGAAAAAGGATCTCCTTGAATTTTTGGGACTACCAGATCATATTTATCAAAACTCACTTTATAGGCCTAACTAATTCATAATTAGCCTATTTCATGAATTGAATGGGTAGGCCTACACTAATTTAAGGGAAGTTCCAATAGGCCTAATCTTGAGAATGAAACAGCCTTCATAAATAAGTACAAAAATATAAATCTAGTCTAGATTCTATATATCTAAATCTAATATCTAGATATCTAGATCTAGATTTAGAATCTACTATGGAAAAAAGTCAACTCAACCACCTTTCACCAAAATTATTTTAATACAGACAGGCCGTGTGTCTGAATAAGTTCAATTTTAAACTCGAAACCATGACCTGAGCCTGATCCCCGCATTGTCACTGTGGTCCGTGGTGTTACTCTGGCCCCTGGGCTACACCACGAAGGAGGAGCAGGCCCACCTAAGGGACTATAGAGTCTAAGATCTTGCAAATTGATTTGTCTGCTGAACACAGACAGTCATTCGCCAAAGCTAAAAACTACCGCCAGCAGCAAAATAAAGAGCTATACAGAAAGAAAAGGCTGCATCAGCGAGACAGACAACACAATGTCACAGGCTGTCTCTACCTGCGGCCGAGGGATCCCCTCAACTCGAAACCCCCATCATAAGAACTGTTTCCCCGACTCACCTTTTAAAATCAACGTGCAATCGTGGGGACCTGAAGATGTTCAGTTTACATCAAAAACAATCTACCATCACTTTAAATACGTTACAGTCCATTGAGAAGTTAACTATTACAAAAACGTAGGTATTCCAGAATTCAAAAATTCAAACCACCACCAACAAACAGCCACGACTTGGCTACACACACAGGCTAGCCTATGTGACACCTGTCAGACGACACAACACCACCACACAAACCCCGTCGTCGTCTGCTGGCTGTGGGAAGCACAGAGAAAGGGAAGCAACCCGGTTTCAACGCTAGCCTACGCTTGTTGGTTCTCTCGCTGACGCATGGACGAAGGAGAGACGGGGGGAAACGAAGGTAGGAGGAATGGGAGGGGGAGACAGGGGGGGGGGGAGTATTTTTAGATCGTCACACACCACACACAGCAACACGCGCACACGCACAGGTAAGAGAGAGAGAGAGAGAGAGAGAGACGTAGTAAGTCGTCGCAAAGGGTAGGCTCTGTCGCAGAGTTGTCGCCCCATGTCGACACACCTGCCTGTCGACGGGAGAGTGCCCCGTTTTTAGGTCACGGTCGATCACGTGACGACGGCCTCGCCGTAATTTGACGAAACCAGTCACTGGGCCCAGCTAAGACTACTAGCCCAGCTTTCTATTGCTGTACTACAGATTCTAGATCTAGATATAGATCTAATATTGATTTGTATCGAGTGGCGAATACTTGGAAGGTGATAGGAAACAGTTCAGTCAGGTAGACAATATGCCTACAGGTAAAGTCAACGGGGATAGAAGGCTTCAATAGGTTATATAATAATAATAA